TATAAGAACGTCGTTATTAATTAATATATTAGTCTTTAAATTATTAACTATATAAGTTTTTATAATTATCTTCGCGAATATTTAAAAATTATTAAATAATTTTTCTTTCGCGTATATTATTATTATAATAAACTCGTTAATATTATATATAATATTTTTAAAACCTCTAACATATATAAAGAATAATATTTTCGAAATTTTAATATCTAGAAAGAATTTCTAACGTTAGACTCGATTTATAAGAATAATATCTACTCTAAAATTTATATAATTTAATATAAACTCTTAAAAATCTAGCGTTAACTTTAGATTAATTATAATATAGTAATATTCTTAGAAAGCGTATCTCGATATAATAATTGATTCTTTATTTAAAAACTCGATTACTTTTTTTAATTCTAATAATATTTATAAAGTTACTAACGAAATCTATTTAGCGACTTCTAAATCTTCGATAATTTTAAAAGCTTTCGAAGTATATATTAAGAAATCTTTTTATACTTTCTTAAAATAATAAAATAAGATATTTCTAAAGAAAAAGCTTTTCGGGTATTAATAATAAATATAAATTATCGATATAGTCTTTATGAAATAACTTATAAAATTAAAAGGCTTAAAGAATTCGAGTTTATTATTTTTTTAAAGATTCGACTTAACTAATTTCTTATATTTTATATAATATATTCTCTAACTTTTATTATACTCGTTTTCTTAAGATAATAAGTCTTTATTATTCTCGTTAATTAAAACCTAATAGACTTTCTAATAATATTCGCTATAATTATTATTTTATTATTACTATAATCTTTAAAATTCTTAATTTTCTTAATTCTCTCTTTTTAGAAATTTATCGCTTTATAAATAATTCGACGACGTCGAATCTAACGCGTTTAAATTTAGAAAAGGTATAATTTATAAAGACTAACGAGATACTAATAACTCTTATTAACGAGATTATTAATTTAATAATTAATCGTACTACTACTATAATTAATAAATATTTAAATTATTAAGTTAATAAGAGAAAGACGAGTAAGACTAGTAAGATTAATAATTATAAGATAATTACTACTTAAATTTAGATTCTTACTATCGAAATTAAAATTAATTAAAATTACCTCTATTATTAATAGATTAAATCTATTATCGATTTATTTACGTAGTAGAATTAATACTTCTTTCGTCGTATCTACTCGTATATATCTATTATTTATACTTGTACTTATTAAGACTTATTAAGAATATATTAATAATATTATTCTTATCGACTCTCTTAATATCTCGACGAAGCTCTAAATTAAGATTATTATAAATCATATCGAGTTAATTCTTAATAAGAACTATATCGATATTTTTAACTAATCTTAAGATCTTCTAGATATATTCGCGAAACTTATAATGAGAACTTATATTTTTTAAAGAATATCGTTTTTATAATACGATATCGATAATAATATTAAAAGATTTCTTAAATCTTAAAATAAGTAATTAACTTTATTTCGAGATATTAAAATTTAAATTACTATACTTTATAAGACGTTTCTTAATATTTAAAAGTTTTATAATTTACTATTTAAGAGTAATATCTTATAAATATATTTAAAGATTTTTCTAAAGAAGTAATTCTTTAATAATAATAAGATTCTTAGCTCGCTTAATAAATAGATATATATTATAAAAATATATTTTCTTATCGATATACTTAATTAGTAATTTTATATTAATAAATTTTCCGTTATAATTAGAATTAAAGAATCTTAATTTATTAAGATTTTATTTAGATTAACTTTCGATTTCTACTTCGATAATAAAATTATTATTTCTCGAGAATTCTAGAAGTTCTAAAGATTTTAATAATAAGTTAAAACTTTAAATTATTATGTTAATAATATTAATAATAAAGTCTTATAGCTATTACGAGATTATCTACTAAGTTATATTTAATAAAAATTTCGAATTAATTAAAATACTATAAATTTCTTCTTCTACGAAAGTTACTCTAGTAAAAAAATTAATACTTTTTAAGAAATCTAAAGTTATCGATAATATAGTCGTTAAAGAATTATAAAGCGTTATTCTTATAGAAGAAAAGTCTTTACTTCTAAGATATCGCGTAATTTTTAATTTATTTCGAAGATTATAAGTTCGATTATTAAATACTTTAATAGCTTTACGAAAGATAAATAGATCTATTAATTAGATATATTTAAAGATAGAAGATTCTATCGAAAATATTCTTATTTATCTTAATAGTCTTAATATTAATTTTAATTCTAATTTTAGATAGTTATTAATAATATAATTAATAGTATAGCTAATAGTTTTAAAAAGCTTATATTAATAAGTTTAATTTATAATTAAAAGAAATTTATAGATTTAATCATTAATACTAATAAGATCTTTAGTTAATTAAGAAGTTAGCTTAAATCTTAGTAATCGATAACGTCGATATAATTATTTAAATAACTCGAGAATTAAGATAATAACTTTTTTAAAGACTTTCTCGAAAGACGTAATTTAAAAATTCGAGCTTCTAAAAAATATTAAAAATAAATTTTTTAATACGAAGTAATTATTAGAAATAAGCTTCTTGATAATATAATATCTACGAAATTATTTTTATAACTTGATAATAATTCTATCTATCTAATTAAAGGCTAATAATATTAATAAGATAACTTAACTTTATAGAAAGTCTATTACTATAGTAAGGCGAAAGCTTTAATTAATTAAAGAAATAAATCTAGTAAGATTAATTTCTCGATTACGTTGTCGAGAATATATAATTATTAAGCGAAGAAAGCGTAATAAATAAGTAAGTTAATACTTACTTATACTTAATCTAATATTACTATTATTAATATGAAAGTATACTATAAAGCTATATATATAGATAAGTTAATTGCTTCTCTAGCTAATGGAATCTACCTGCTAATATACTCGCATGCCAAGCATGCCAAGCCTTCATGCCAAGCCTTGCAAGGCTGAGTTCCCTGAATTCCATATCCATCCCCCAGAAGATTTTAGAGATAGAATCAATCATCCTTCTACATCACCGTTGTTCACATTCCATCCTTTTTAATAAATAAGATAAATAATATCGATAAAACTAGCTTCGCTCTAAACTCGAAGAGCTCTTTATTTAAAATTAACTCTAATAATAATTTAAAAATAAATTAACTCGATATAATAATAAAATTAACGCGAGAAATTAAAGTATACTCGCTATTAATACTATTTATATTTAAAATATTTATAATTATTTAAAATATATAAAGAAAATCTCGCTAAGCTCTAAAATTAGCTCGATATAATTTAAAATATTATTTAAAAAAAAATCTTATATTACGATTTATAATATAATTAATAATATTTTAAAGAGATAAGCTTTAACTTATAGATATTAAGGGGAAATATAATATAAATATATAATAACTTAATAGAAAATTATTTCTCTTTATATTTAAGAGGGGATTTAATTAAATTTTATTTTTTATATTATTATCGCGATTATCTTAATTATCTTCTATTATATTTATAATATAATATCTTCTATTAATTAACTCTTCTATTAAAAAAATTAATTAAGATTAAATATAAGATTACTTATAATTTTATTTCGCTCGCTTATTAAAACTAATTAAAGCTTCTTTATAAAATTATCTTATTTATATAAATATAAAGAATAATTATTCTTTAATCGCTATAATAAAGAGTAATTTCTCTTTATATATTAATATATTAGATATATAAGATATAAATTATTTTCTTTTTTAGCGTTATATCGTTATCTTAGATTAAGTTTTAGCCTCTATTATAGAAATTATATAACGAAATATTAGAGTTTAATCGCTTATTATTAGCTTTTAATATAATAAAATATAAAAATAAGAATATATTATCTTTTATTTTTAGCGTATTTTATTTAATATAGAGAAACTAGTAATATTCTAGCGATTATAGCGATTATATAACGAAAAAATATAAATATATAATACTCTATTATAGTGTATAATAGCTTCGATATTATATAATTAAATATAATATATTTTAATTTATCTTAAATTATCTTATATAAAAAGTAATAAAAAAGTTTATATACTAAATTATTAATATAATATATTAATATATTAATAATTTCGATATAGCCCCCCTTACTTACTACTTTTATTCTTTTAATTAAAAATATATTTAATATATATTATCTAATTAGAATAATTATCTTAAAGTAGAAAATATCTATATTACGAAAATTAATAAAAGAGATCCTTTATAGTTATAACTATTACTATTTAATAAATATTAATATAATAAATATATTAAAAATAGTTATAACTATAATAAATAATAGATAAATTATAAAATAATTAAAATAATTATTAAGTAAAGTTTAAGCTTATAATCTATTAAAATATAAGATAAAATATTTAATTATATTAACTATAGAATTTTATAAAAGAAAAGAGTAATTAGATATAAATATACTAAGATATATTATATAATTATATTACATAATCGTTAAGACGCTAAGAGTTATATAATTCGAATTTCAATAGAAATAGAGCTTTACGCTTTATCAGTATATATAAAAGAATAAGATAGGGCTAAGCTTGAAAACCTTAAATTTGTATATGCAGCCAATTATAAATTTAGGGTTACTACGCTCTTTAGTTAGACCGGCTAAGTCAGCCCGCTAGCCCTCCTGAGCTCCCTTATCAAAAATTTATATATAGAAGTTTTACACTCTGAAATAACCAGCTCCCTACGGATGCTATTACTTCATAATTTCGTAAATTATAGAGCTCAGTTTGCGCTTTCTAACGCTGTAAAAATAATGAAGTTTGGCCTACTATTGGTGGATGAAATGAACATTCAAATATGGTAGTTATGGTAGCCACACCAGACGCGTCCGGGATCGGATAATAATCCTTCCACCTGTTTGTTTGTTTGTGTAACCATTATTCTTCCACCACTCTACCAATTCTATCAATTCCACCAATATGAACACAATCGTCCTCGGTACCCCTCGCGGAAACGTTACTAAACGCTTCAGGCACGTACACCCCTTTTGCCCGCCTCTTAGAGCCCCTACTAACGCGAATCCGCTACTGCTGGCAATCGAGGCCGCAAGCGAGCCCAACAGCTACCTACTACTGCTTATAAACGCGTTAGAAAGCCCTCAAAAAGAGCCCGAACGGATTCACAGCCATCGTCCTCCCCTACATACTACTCGACCAGCCGCTCAGTCAACACTACCTACCCTATCAGCTCAGTAATCCACTCAGTCAGCCACTCAGCTAGCCACTCAGTCTGATACTCTACAAGAGGAGGAGCAAGAGGAGGAACTACAACAGGCAAATGCGGAGAACACTGCGGAGAACACTACGGAGAACACTGCGGAGAAACCAAGCGGCAACAAGGCCACCATCGTCAAGAACACGGCTCAGCTCTCCAAGATCCCACGTCATATCAGTCATCCACTCAGTCAGCCACTCAGCTAGCCACTCAGTCTGATACTCTACAAGAGAAGGAGCAAGAGGAGGAACTACAACAGGCAAATGCGGAGAACACTGCGGAGAAACCAAGCGGCAACAAGGCCCCCAGCACCAAGAACACGGCTCAGCTCTCCAAGATCCCACGTCATATGCTCTCCACGATTCCATATCAAATCATCACTCAGTAAGCGGAGAACACCACTGCAACTTAGCCTGTCATCCCCACTACATTAAGGAGTAAGAGGAGGAACTACAACAGGCAAATGCGGAGAACACTGCGGAGAACACTGCGGAGAAACCAAGCGGCAATAAGGCCACCATCGTCAAGAACACGGCTCAGCTCTCCAAGATCCCACGTCATATCAGTCATCCACTCAGTCAGCCACTCAGCTAGCCACTCAGTCTGATACTCTACAAGAGGAGGAGCAAGAGGAGGAACTACAACAGGCAAATGCGGAGAACACTACGGAGAACACTGCGGAGAAACCAAGCGGCAACAAGGCCACCATCGTCAAGAACACGGCTCAGCTCTCCAAGATCCCACGTCATATCAGTCATCCACTCAGCTAGCCACTCAGTCAGCTACTCAGCTAGCTACTCAGTCTGATACTCTATAAGAGAAGGAGCAAGAGGAGGAACTACAACAGGCTAATGCGGAGAATACTGCGGAGAATACTACGGAGAAACCAAGCGGCAACAAGGCCACCATCGTCAAGAACACGGCTCAGCTCTCCAAGATCCCACGTCAAATCATCACTCAGCAAGCGGAGAACACCACTGCAACTTGGCCTGTCATCCCCACTGCATTAATATGGTACATCACTACAATGACGTTACAAGAGGAGGATCTACTGCGACGATCACAGTCAATTAAGCCTCTGCAGGAGGGACATCGGACGATGCATATTTGAACGAATTGAAACCGTCCGATGTCTTTCTCTGACAGCTATTTCATTATTCGAAAGATTTCACTGCGGCAGGAGATAATGTGGGATTTACACCACTAATTGGCATGTTATCTCCATTTCTTTCCGATATTTCGATACTTCTTGCCATAAGGACATAGCCTTTCTCTGTTTTTTGTGGGCAATTATTACGAATTAATCCTTCACACTCGATACACCTTCCTAATTAGGCCTTAGCGCGCCTCTCTCCGCATATATATGCCTATGTAGGTCAAAAACGCACAGCAAGCGATCAGAGTTCGATTTGACTTAGGGCTAGGGCTAAAATTCGATTTGACTTAGAAAAATCCAACTCCATGAATTTAATTTATAGGCCTTTACTTGTATACTATTAAAAAGATAAAGAATACGCTATATAAATCTTATATTCGCTTTAGAAAAAGATTAAATAATTTAATTTATAGTAATATTTATAGCTCTATTACCCCGCGTAGTTTCGATAAAGATAAATACTTTATTATCTTTCTAGATAATTATAATAAATATTTTAAAATTAAGATTATTAAATAAAAAAGCGATATTTTTATAATTTTTAAGCGCTTTTAGCTTTATAATAAATATAGCGATTATATTATTAAATATCTACGAAGTGATTATAAGAGCGAGTATAAGAATTATAATTTTAATATCTATTATATTAATTATAATATTATTTAAAAATTAATGTAATTAGAAAATCTTAAATAAAATAAGATTATTAAATAACTTAATTAAACTCTCTTTAATATTATTAATACTATTATAAAAAATATTAATATTAATTAAAAGTTTTAATTAGAGTTTATAATAATAATAAACTATTTTTATAATTATAGCTCTATTATAAGCTATAAATTTATTTTATATAAGACTTATATTAGATATAAATCTTATTTAATATATATTAGATATATTAGAATTAAAAGCTTTACTATAATAAAAAGATTAGTTATTAAATAAAAGAAAGAATAATATTATATCTAAGAAGATATTCTTATAAATTATAATAGTAATTATATCTATTAAATATTACTATTAAATAATAATATTATATATTTATTGAAAATTATATAGAGTAGAGAAAAGAACGAACTCTTATCTAATTTAATACCTCTTTAGTCGCTAAATAATTTAGCTATAAAAGAAAATATATCTAAATCTATAACGCTTTCCTTAGCTAAAAATTTCTTTTCTATAAATATAATAAATATAAATAAACTTATTTAATTATTTAGATTTATTTTAAGGCCTTTAAAGCTCGTAATAACTTCTTTTAACTTAAATACTTCTATTATTATATCTTAATCTATTCTAATAATATAAGGCGATACGCCTTTATATTCTAATTATCCTTACTTAATTCTATAAAATCTCTCTTTAAATTCTTTTATACTTTATATTATAATTACTTAAGTCGTAAATATAAAATTATATAAATTAAAAATCTATAAAGAGGTTATTATAAATAATTCTTTTTATAAGTAATAAAAAGGCGGTATAATCGAAGAATTCGAGTCGCTAAAAGAGAATAATATTTAAGCTCTTATTAATCTATCTTATAAATGTATTATACTTTATAATAAATAGATCTATATCTTAAAATATAAATTTAATAATAAAGTTACTCGCTATAAAACTCGCTAAATAATATATAATTTTAAATAACGCGAAGACTTAGATTATAATAAAACCTTCGCTTTAATAATTAAGCTTATATTCTATAAAACTATCTTTATCTTAATTACTATTAAAGATTAAAATCTAAAATAAATAAATATTAAAATCGCTTTTCTCTATAGAGATATTAAAGAGGAAATCTATATAAAATAGCTTATTAATTTTATCTTAGAAAAATATTCTCGATAAGTTTATAAGCTTAATAAGATACTCTATAATTTAAAGTAATCCTCGCGTATATAATATAATATCTTTATTAATTATATATAAGAAATCGATTTTATTCTTATTAATATTAATTATAATATATTTATTAATCTTAATATCGATATTATTATTATTCTCTATATAGATAATATTCTTATTACTAGCTCTTCTTAATCTAATATTTAATAAATTAAGAATATACTTAATATTAAGTTTAAAATAAATAATTTAAATCTTTATAATTACTATTTAAATATAATTATAATTTATAATTATATTAATCGAATATTATATTTAGATTAATTAATTTATATTAAATAATTTCTTAAATACTAAGATATAAAATATAAGAATATAAATTATAATTTATTCTTATAGAGATTAACGTATAAATATTTCTCGCTAATAATAATTATATAATATTTATTAAGTTACTAAAAACTTATTAATTAACTATTAAATCTCTTATATACGTTATATTAGATACGAGATTAAATATTATATTTACTATATTAATAATCTTATAATATTTTTTAAACTCTATCGAAGCCTATTACGCGGTTATTAAGTATATCTTTTAATACTTTAAAGTAATTATTTACTAGCACCTTACTTATAAAGATTTACTTTAAAACTTAATTAATTATATCGATTTTAATTAAACTAGTAATTACGATATTTATAAATTAATTTTAGATTATATTTATAATCTAGAGAGTAGAGTAATTAGCTAATCTTTTAAGCGATAAGCTATTATTATATTATTTATCTATAAAATTAAATATATTAATTAAATTTAGATTATAAAGAAAGTTATTTAGCTTCGAGAATTATTTAATTAAATTCGCTTTAACGAATCGCTTTAAACGATTATTATTTTTAGTAATAATTAAAACGTAATTATTTTAATAAAGAATTCTTAATATTATAATCGTATTAAGTATATTAATATTTAATACTATTAAGTATATAGCTAAATTATTAATAATAATATAAATTTTAAATATATTTCTATTAATAAATAAATAGTTAATAAGCTTATTAAGGCCCTATATAAAGATAAATTTAAGCTCTTTTAAAAACTTATTAATCTAAAACCTCGCTTATAGAATAATTATTTCTTATATCTTAGCGATATACTTATTATTAAAAAAGAGTTAACTTTAATACCTTAAAAGATAGATAGATTTATATTTTAGCGATACGCTTATTATTAAGAAAGAGTTAACTTTAATATCTTAAGAAGTAAATAAATTATTATTAGAAAGAGTTAATTCTAGCATCTTAAGAAGTAAATAATAAAATTAAGTCTTTCGATCTTATTATTTATATAAGAGCCTACTTCTAATTAGTTTTTATATCTTAAATAATTTACTTAAATCGCTTATCGAGTCGCTATATTAAGCTTAATACTCTATAAACTTATTATTTTATACTAAAATAGCTATTTCTTTAACGCTATTACTATTATCGCTATTAAATCTTTAAAGCTCTTTTAAAACGTCTTTATCTATATCTTATTCTATTAACGTATTATATATAAGACGTATATTACTACTATATCGCCGAGGATTAGATACTCGAAATATAATATAGTTATTTTTAGATTTCAATTTTTTACTTTATTTATTCTATTATAAACGTTATTAATTTCGATCTTTAATTAATTAATCTTTAATGTGCACTAAGCGTACTAGAAATAAAATTTTTAAAAAACCGCTTTTTAATAAAAAATGGAATTTTTATATAGGGTAAATAGAATTTTTTCTATTTACATACCCTCTTCACCTTTATTACCCGACGTTCGAATATAATTATTTACTCGAATAGAAGAAATAGAGGAGTGGAAATATTTTTTCATTTTTTATACTTATTTGATTTAAGCTATATTTCGAGTATATAAGAGTATCGAAATATATTACCTAACTAAATTAAAAGGTTTACCGAGGCGAGGAAGATTTGCCGAGGCTTGGCGACATATATATTCGTAATACTCTCTGCAGTTAGATCTAATCAATCAAGTATTTCACCTACTACTTTCAACAAATTTTAGTAAGCGAACTTTGATAAGCGATATTTAAATTCCTTGCGCTTTAATAATTATAAGACTAAATTTAGATTTTTTTTTTATCTAAAAGCCCATGTTTCGTTCTATAATTTAAAAAAAAATCTCAAAAAATTAATAGAAAATAAAAAAGTTATTCTATATGTTAATAACGTACATCTATTTTTTTAATGATTGCGGACGTTTAATGATTGCGGACGCTAATTTATTTACTCGCGATAAGTTAGCCGATCTAGTTAAAAAGCGTAGAGAACCCGAATTTATAATTAACTATATATATAAATTTAAGATTTTTAAGTTTAGCTCTATCTTATTCTTTTATATATATTAATAACTTTTATAACTAATTACGCTTCGAATACGATTAATAAATATTTATACGTTATCGATATCGTTAAATTAGCTAATCTTCTCTAATCTCTATCTCTTATTTTTCGATTATAAGATAAGAAATATAATAGATAATATTTACTATTAAGAAGATTAAGAAGAGAAATAATTTATTTACTATAACGTTATTTATAAAGTAGATAAAGAAGATCTTAATCTAGCTTTAGCTATTTTAATATTTATTCTTTCTTTTATAATAGTTATATTAATAGCTATAATAATAACGATACGCTATATTATTACTTCTAGCTCTAATATAGTTATAAATAATATATTATCGTCGACGACTTATTTCTTAATTTTTTTTTACTTTTAATCTCTTATAGAACTAGATATAATAAGATTAATAAATATATTAAAATAATCGATTTAGACGTAGATTTTTAATTAAATAATACTCGATAATTAATAAGTAGATATAAGAATTAACTTAAAGCGTTATACTATTAGATATTAACGAGTAAAGATTTATAAATTAAATTCATAATTATTTTTTTTAGTTTAGAGCTATCGAGTAAATTTAATAAGCGATCTTTAATAAGCGAACTTTAGTAAGCGATAATTAAGGTCCTTACCTTATAATAATTATAAGATTAAATTTTAAAATTCTTAAAAATTTAAGACGCGT